GCATTAATTCATCTCAATCGCTAAAAAACTTCAGTGTTTCTCAAAATTTATAAAAACAGTGAAATGCAACTCAGAATATGACGCAAACCTGCAATAATTAAATGTTAAATAATACAAATATCCTTATGTATTTAATCCCATTATATTAACCAGTGTCTTTGCTGCTGACATTCAATGATCCAATTCAACCATGCTAACAAGCAAAAATTATGATAGATAAACATTTGTGCTTCTTTTTTTATTGCTGAAGTGTGTTGAACTTTCTTCTTCTGCTTTCTACTTTACAGATGGTGAATTTACTTTTCCTTCAGCCCGAGGCTTATTCATTTCACTTTTGATGTGAAAGGGCTTTTGCATTTGCCAAAAATAGAGATTTTTTATATTAAACCAAACAAGAAAGCCCTGCCCAGATTTAAAAAGTAACGTAAAAGTAATGTAACACATTACTTTTCATAAAAAGTAACTAAGTAATGTAATTAGTTACTTTTTTAGGGAGTTGTAATGCATTACTTTTTAGAGTAACTTCCCCAACATTGATTACTATCCCATTGTAAGATTTACAGAACCTCAGACACGTTTATCTTATGAGAAGGACTAAACACACATAGTGTATTCAAATACAGACATCTTTTTCCACATCTCACTGAGAGAAGATGTAAGTGAATTTACTTCTCACCCATCCACTTCCTTTACTCACTCTCACCCTCTCTCCCCTCATTTTCTATCTAAACACAGGACACTACAGAGATCACCGAAACCACTATTCTTAATCAGAGTTTATAACAATGCAACTGTTCATGGTTGATGTCGTTTGAAAGGTCTCTGTGTGTCTGGTAAAGAGGTCTCATTCTCTTAACAATAGGACAGATAGCTATAAAAAGGTAATGCAGATCCTAAGAGTTTAGAGATAAGTTGATTTCTGTAGAGGGCGTCATTTCCCAGTGCCTTTCATGCAAATTACCTTCTGTCCCAAAAGGTGTTAATTCGCCTTGATCAATACAAATTCAAATTGTTAGTTCCTGTCTCCATTTTGGAGGATGTGTGTCTTGGACCGAGGTTACTTAAGGAAATGTGGCAGGAGGATCGCGGCGATTCTGTAGCCAGAAGCCCGTAGCGTGGTGTGTCTCTCTACACTCCACACTATATATCTTTCTAAAGTCAGGTATGCATTTCTTACTCTTAGATTTATCTTTGAGAATTTGATGTTTTGTATTGATTTGAATTGATTTGATATTCTGAATTCATATGTAATTGGCATAATACATTTACCTGACTGATAATAAATTGTTACATTTGAATTTATTCTGACTTACTCTGAGATTATTGACTCTAATTAATTATGTTAAGTCTATAACACCGCAAATCTGCGCTCAGGTTAGTAACGGACTAAAATGTTTTAGAGCTCCGGCTAACACATTGGCACTAGTTATGTATACTTAGACTGTAGAGGCTATTGGGTTTTTCCGTTTAGAACAACAGTGTGTTGTTGACCAACCTAAATTCGGGTCAGTCTCAACCTCTGATTATTGTAACATTATTCTAACTAAGTGTACGTGAAAAATCACGGCATGATTATATAAAGTTACTTAGAAGAAGTTAAGTTGGTCAACTTGGTTCTATAGTAATGGTCATGACCTCTGGTTAGATATAGTCTTACCTTAATTAAGTGTTTACAGATCTATGGGGACTAATAAAAGTATTCTAGAATGAGCTAAGTATTGCACGAGCTGTCCAGAATATTAGTCAATCGCCTCTGTCTAATGACCAAGACTGACGAGTTTGTGAATATGAGATCCATACACCGGCTGGTACGAAACTCAAAGTGTTATAGGAATAAGATTAATGAGCTTCAATACGATTAAAGAGCGAAATAGAATAATCAAATATCTGAGTAATAATAATAATAATTAGAAATGAACAAACAACCGATTGGCATTTCAGCCTTAAATTTGAGTTCATTATAAAAATGGAGTCAGATTAGAGTTTAACTTAAAGTCCCCATGAAATCAAAATGAAAGTTTTTTGGGTGTTAGTATCAATATGTTAGTCTTAAGGTTATCTATAAGGCAGTGTGCTCCAAAACAGTGACAAAATTCACATTTAGAAGATATAAGCATTCAAAGCTTGCAGTTCGTCACTTCCGCCACAACGGCTCAACGATTTTTTTGACGTCACATCGTACTTCAGCTTCTCATCAAACTTTCTGTCCAATAAAATGCTCTCTAGAATCCGAAGCGCCCGCCCCCAAGGGGCGGGGCTGCTTGATATGTCCCGCCCTGTCTTCCTGTTTCAGTTAAAATGATGTCAACACATAGAGTAAAGGCCCATTCACACCAAGCACGATAACTTTAAAGATAACGACAGAGGCGGACAGTAACGAAATACATTTACTTGAGTATTGTACTTAAGTACAGTTAAGTAGAGTATCTGTACTTTACTTGAGTATTATTTTTTCAGGAAACTTATGACTTTAACTTCACTACATTTGAAAGACAAATATTGTACTTTTCACTCCACTACATTTCTATCAAGAAGAGAAAACTAGAGGTGCAGGTAAAAATCTGTTCATACATGAATCGCGATTCTGTCTTCTAAGGATTCTAATGGATTCACAAATTTCTAAATCAATGTTCTAAAGCAGAGGTTCTTAATACTGTTCCTTGCGTCCCCCTGCTCTGCACATGCTCTGCATCTCTCTCTCGCACTAGAGGCGGTTTAGCCCATCAAAACACACTGCTTTAAATTAAATAACTTTGTGCGCCGAAAAGACTGAACATGCAGGAAACCTTCATTCACCATTGGATACCTTCCTTGGGCCAACTGCGTGGACCTTACACCATACTTTACAAAACCCTCAAAAGCTTACAATGATTTCAGTCATTACTAGAGAATGTTATTCACTTTAGAATACTGATCCAAACAATTAGTAATTCCTTCTGAAAAATGTGCTAATACTTGTGTCATTACTAGTGGGTTACCATGACCTTTATTTTAGAATTAAGTATACATCATGCATTATTCATATTATCATGAACCTGCATACAGTAGTTTTTAGTAGTTCTTGGGGAGGTATGAAAAAATAGTAGTTTCAAGTTGCTAATGTTGAATGTCTACAAGGATGTGAAAACACTGTAAGTGACATATTCTGAGACAACAAATTATGTTTTGAAATGGCTGAAATCTTCATGTGAACATTAGGTGGGGAATCTCCATGCAGTTACTCAAGTTACATCATCTCTGTTACTCAAGCCAGGCAACAAACTGCATGGATTATAATTGCATTAACAATTTCTAACCAGTACACTCTTAAGAATTAAGGTTATTTTTTTGGCATCCTTGATTCTATTAGGAAACTTTAACATCCATGGAATCTTTCCATTATGCAAAGGGTTCTTGATAATTAAAAGGGGTTCTTTAGATTAAAAAAATACTAAGAAACACTAAGAAAAAAAATTGTATTTTAAGAACTGTTCACTGAAACCTCTTTGGGGAACCAGAAATAGTTCTTCTATGGTATCACTGTGAAAACCCTCTTTTGGAACCATTATATAGATTGGAAATTACCTCAACTAGTTCAACTTTCAGAATTAGTTTTTACAGCACAACCTGACATCACACTGATATCACCAGTAATTCTGAACAAAGTATACATTCTTTGAAAACACAGACAGTGTTGATGTGTGTTTGAAGCTACTCTATAAATAGTTTAAGAGTAAGAAAATGGCAAGAGGAAAAGAAGACCACAAAACAGGAAGTCAGTCATCAAACTTGCAGATAAAACACAGAGCTCTCAAGTGCAAGAGAAATGTTTTTTAATGTGCCAAAAGACTTTATACTTACAAAAAGCCACCTTGACGATATAATAACACTATTTGAAAGCATTATAACACTAATTTTGAGAATAAAAAGGAGAAGAAAATGTGCTATGACTCTGATGTGTATGATAAAGCAATGCCAAATTTGAACATACTGAAACTATAATGAAAACCATGCTGAAATACAAAGGGTGAGACATGTACATTTAAATACAACACATTACAGCACATTGAGGAAGCATGACATCGGAACTGCCCAAGTTCTCTCCTCACTATACAATTCAGTGTGAATGTGTAATGAATTAAGTGTTGTGTCCTGACTGGTTTACTTTTCCAGTAAACTGATGTTTTATCTGGTACTTTTTCCTCATGTATGCTACTTACTTCCACATGCACTACAGAAACATCATTACACATAAACTAACATGCTTCTGTAAAATCATTTATATGAATGCTTATGACACTGTATTTTTTTTTGTTTACAACACTTGATTGCAGCATTCTTTCCCAATGACAATTACAACATACAATGTTATAGAAAACTCTCTTGAGATGCCAGCAAGTGACCATGTGACGAATTATATGAAATCAAGTATTCCATCAAATGCCCTTTGGTTGATGCAGCCTACAATACTCTTAAAAGTCAAGTTTCACAGACAGGCATAGCAATTCTAAGACAATTCTGTTACATATTTTAAGTAGATCATGTAAAAAGAGACTATTCAATTATAAAAATACTGAAACAGTATATGAAATTAACAAATAATATAAGGTTCAAAATAAAAGTCTCAATCAAATTACAATAAAAAAATATTCAAAACTGATCTGAAAATATATTAACTCTTTCCAAAATATATGAGAATAATAACAATAATAAAAATATGTCCTCTTGTTTTGGATTATCTGTGCTATTTTTTATTTTTTATTTTTTTGTAAACATCCATTTAAAAAAATAATTTAATTATAGGAGTTTATGCCATTAAATGTTGTATAAATTTAATTAGAAATCTAAATTTTAAATAAAATTTTAGCATTTTTCTCTTGGAAGAATCATCAGACCAGTTACTATGTAACTGTACATGAAACTTGTGTTTAATGCTTCTGTTGAGTTAGCTTCCTGTATTTCATACACTTCCCCTTCTGAGTTTGCAGTCTGTTGAAAGAGCATGAAACTGTGTGATGGATTTCTTCAAAATGGCGTTAACTCGTCTACAGCTGACCTTCATTGTGGCGATTATCGGTCCTCTCAGCTCCAGCACAGGTACAAAGTCACTGTAATATAACAACTGAAAGCTACTAAATCTTGTTGTTGATTGATGTGTAATTATATAATTATAGCAGGAATTTTTAATGAAGATATGGCAAGGCAATTTTCAAACATTGCTGTCTTGTACCAATTACCTATTTTTATTTTTGTGAAAATCAATAGAAAATTGAATGTACCTTAATGGTTCATGCTTCTTTGTCTTTTTATTACCACTTTAACAGATTCCTAAATCACTTTTAATGAGTAATAAATCACAGTTTAATGATAATTAGTTTGCAGCTATAATAGTGGGTTAATCAGTAATTGCTAAACAAGCAAAAGCATAAATTAGCTTAAAAAAAATCATATTCACTTATGAGCTTTGTTTGAGAATGGTGCCTCCAAATGGCCAGCTGGATCCTCTTTTTTCAGTTCTTTTATTTTCAGTTTCTTTATTGGGTTTTTATATACAGAACAACAAGCTCACAGATAACAAAGTAAAACAATATATTTATCTTGTTATCAGGATTTTTTTTCATAAATAACATCATAATTTAGAAGTAATGGGCATTATTCGACATTATTGTCGAATCCAATATAATTGGCACATGCGTGAATCAGTGGGCGGGGCTAATCAGACAGTGATGCAGAAGCAGGCAAAGGCGGTTTTTAGCCACACCTTTACATCATAAAATGGCACATTCCACAACCTGTCGTTTTGGCAGATTGAAACTTACAGGATATTTTTATAGTACAATGAACTCATATCTGTCAAAAGATCAAGGGAATTTTGATTTCTCAGTTCATGACCCCTTTAATAAAAAAGGGGTGTTCAAGTGTCAGCCAGTACTTTATCCAAAAAGAGATGCCATTTGAGAACCTATATTTTTCCAGCTTTATACAAGTAAACAACTCTTTAATCCATATATCGATGGTAGGTGTGAAACATGTCTAGCAAATAAAGTTGTAAAGACCAGAGGCTTCTACAGTGGTTTTGGTGGATCTCATTTTTATACACTAATAAAACAAATGTTTTCTGCACTCACAAAATTTAAACTCCATTAATACAAACTACTCTAAACTAAATGTTTTTTTTTTCTCCCTACAGTATCCAGTGACCAACCAATAACAAAAAAAGTAATGAAAGGAAAATCTGTTGAGCTGGAAACACAAAATAACTTGTCATTTGATCATTTTGAATGGATAAAAGATAAATCAGAGATTGTAGTCACATATGATTCTAAAACAGGAAATACGGAATCTTCCCATGAGAGAGTGGATTTTAATAAACAAACACTTTCTCTAACAATAAAGAACACACAGGAGACAGACAGTGGACTCTACACTGCTAGAGCAAGTGGAGAATCAGATACTACCATCAGTCTATACAATGTAATTGTTGGTAAGTTATAACATTTATATATTTATTTCTGCTCTCACAAAATGTAATCTCCATTAATACAAACTACTCTAGACTAAATGTTTTTTTTTTCTCCCTACAGTATCCAGTGACCAACCAATACCAAAAAAAGTCATGAAAGGAAAATCTGTTGAGCTGGAAACACAAAATAACTTGTCATTTGATCATTTTGAATGGATAAAAGATAAATCAGAGATTGTAGTCACATATGATTCTAAAACAGGAAATACGGAATCTTCCCATGAGAGAGTGGATTTTAATAAACAAACACTTTCTCTAACAATAAAGAACACACAGGAGACAGACAGTGGACTCTACACTGCTAGAGCAAGTGGAGAATCAGATACTACCATCAGTCTATACAATGTAATTGTTGGTAAGTTGTTTGGGAGTTTTGTCACACTTAGAATTTAGGAGCCCACATTCTACTCAACAGGTATAAAAATGTAGGTTGTAACTGTATCATCGTCAACTCATATATGGATACAATTTAGTAGCCTTCAGATTAGCACATTTTGAACTGATCATTAAAGGAACAGTTCACCCAAAAATGGAAATATGCTGCTAACGCTTGCTCACCAGTGGATCCTCTGCAGTGAATGGGTGCCGTCAGAATGAGAGCCCAAACAGTTAATAAAAACATCATAACAAGCCACAAGTAATCCACACAACTCCAGTCCATCAGTTGCATGTTTGTAATAAACAAATCCAACATTAAGACGGGAGAAAGCAATATATTGCTTATATTATATTATTGCTTGTATTTTATATAAAATGGATATATTTATTTAGTTAGTTAAAATGCCCTAATGATGGATTTGTTTCTTACAAACAGCTTTTCACTTCACAAGTCATTAATTGATTGACAAGAGTCACGTTTATAACTTGGATTACTGCAGAGGATCCATTGGTGAGCATATGATCTAATGCTAAATTTATCTAAATGTTTTTCGGGTAAAAAATAAAAATAAAAATTACATCTGGCCTGAGGGTGAGTACATTTTCAATTATGGGTTAACTGTTCCTTTAAAGTTGAAGCTATAACTTTAACTTTGTGCATCAGGCATAAGAAATTGTTTTGGTTAAAACACAAATGAATTATCTTCATTATTATGAACTGACACATTCTTTCGTTTCTCAGTAGGTACAAGCAGTCAAGCATCAACTACAGAATCTGTTTCTCTCACTTGGATTATATTCCTTTTCCCCTTTGGTGCAATTATGATTTGAGCCAACTACTGTACTATAGCTACAGATGAACAAAAAAGTAAACGGTATGTATTGTTTGCTTAACAATTATCATTAAGTGCCTTCATGAACAAGCAATTTATATTTTCAAAAACATTTTCACGGCACAGTCAGCGTTGGCTAATCAGTGTGTAAGCCTAACTTGTTCCACATTTGACATGGCAAATATGCCCCATATATTATAAAACAGATGAGGGCCACTTATGGTTTGGATGTAGGACTTGACACTGGCTAATTGAAATGGAAGTTTGAAATTGTAAATACAGCCTAATAGAATATGGCTACTTTTAGTAGGATGCAACAAAGTCAACTGATGCAGGTTTATCTGGATATGAGTCTTAAGAAGGCTACATACCCAGCAATTTATTTTTTGAAACATGCTTTTAACGGCAGTTTTTGATATGTGTACTGTGCAGCATAAAAACAGAAGTGCACTATAATGATAGCTCTTACTGTCAAGGTTTCTGTTAATTTGGACTTTGTTTTTCTTTTGCACAGTTTCCCTTGTTGTGTTGATTGTATTATTCTGTTCAGGGGCCCGTTTCAGAAAGGAGGTTAAGTGAAAACTCGGAGTATGTTAACCCTGAAATGAGGGAAACTCTGGGTTTTCCGTTTCAGAATGGGAGATATGTCAAACCCGAGAAAGCAGGGCAAGTCAAGCCTGTTTCTGAAAAGGAGGTAGCTTATACTCAAAATCAGTTACCATGGTAACTTACTCTGTGAACATACTCGTTACTAATGTAACCTCTGTTCCCTGAGATACGGGAACGAGTACTGCGTCTTGCTAAAAGACGCTATGGGAAAAAGCCTTGCCCTTTTCTCCTGAACTGAAGCCTTTTTTCAACCACGCAGTGAAACTGCACGGCCATTGGTTCGTGCAGTGCCTTAAAAAACAAACCAATGGGTCGGCAGCAGTGCTGCACAAGCCTATGGCGACAAAACCTGCCAGAATGGGCGGAGCCATCTGGCTATATAAGTGGGCATTCGCCACAGGATTCTCAGGTTACTTCGACTGAAGCGACGACTGAGTTGTGCAGGTACATAGCACGGCTAGGAATGCAGTACTCGTTCCCGTATCTTAGGGAACTGAGGTTACATTAGTAACTGAGTACGTTCCCTGTCGATACTTCACTCGTACTGCGTCTTGCTAAAAGACGCTATGGGAACACAGTACAATCACGCCGTGCTATGGTAGAGGAACGACTGCATATTATAACCTCCATAAGCAAGGATGCCCATAGGGAAGTTAACAAATGAATTCCAAGGCTAAAACGGGCTGAACTCACCGAGGTCACGCCCGGCCTGGGTAATCGTTCCAAGGTACTCGTACACTTCGGCACCCCAGGGGCCGAGAACCGACAAGTAACTAACCCAAGAGCTTGAGTGTGTTACGGTCAAGGACTCTCTGTTAGAACTAATTGCATAATGCAGTGAGTGTCTCCTTAAGCAGAAGGGACCCTGGCTTGCAAGGCCAGGACTTCTAGGTTATAAAACCTAGCAAATGTGGACGGCGAGGCCCAGCTAATACTCTATGTTATTATTGCATCATGTTAATGTACAACAATAATGAGGTGCAAATAGTATGTATCTGCCAGTATAAAGTATAAATAGCATCTAATTATTATTTACACTGATTGCAAAGAACTGCACACTACTTTTACATGGTAAATAGAATATATCACTATTTTCACTGTGTAAATAGCATCTAGAGCTATTTGCACTTAGCCTACTGTAAATAGGATCTATCGCTAAGAAAGTATGCAAATTCCACTTAGTGTAAATAGCCGCTGCTGTATTTTTCTTATCCTATTGGCAGATAATTAGCAAAATAAGAAAAATGCACTTAAATTATTATTATTATTAGGCCTATTTTATTTAATTGTTTTTATTTTTTTGCCCGTAGGATACCATGAAAATTAATAGTCTATTAGTTCAATAACCTACCGTTCTGCCAGTTTTCACTTGTGATATTATAACAGCGATAAGAATAAAACTTTTATTGACTCCGAAGAATGCAGATGTCTTTTTGTCAGGTGCTGTTGCCATGGTGAATTATAATATCAGAGCTCCATTGATCATGGCTTTTCATAGTCATGGTGCACGCACTAAACTCAGAGTCAACCTACTCAGAGTTGATTGAACCAACTCAATTCAGCTGTTCTGAAACCTAAAACTCAGAGTTTCCCATCTCAGAGTAAGGCCCTGACCACACGAACACGGTTATTTTTTAAAACCGCAGCTTTTTCTACGCGGTTTGGCCATTCGTCCACACGCAAATGCAGCACCAGGTCACTGAAACTGAAAATTTTTGAAAACGCCTGCCAGAGTGAAGATTTTCAAAAACTCCAGTTGCAGCGTTTTTTGCTTGTGACATCGGAGCCTGCGTTGTTATATCCACCTATTGGAAACTTTTTCAGGCTTCTGATTGGCCAACATGGCTTTACGGTTGAGATTATATCGCCACCTGTTGGTTTGGCATGCTCTTGACAGTGCTTCATAGCATGTGTTTGCGTTTTCATGTGGACGGAGATTTTTTTAAAAACGGAAGAAGGAAAAACTCTGTTTATAAAAACACCCGTTTACGTGTGGACATGGCCTAAGTCAACTCAGAGTTCAAGTTTGAACTCAGAGTTGGTTGAACCTCCTTATTGAAACGGGCCCCAGGTGTGCCTAGTTAATTATCCTTGTTTGGTCTGAGTACTTAAATTCCTGTATGTATATTATAACCTCCATAAGCAAGGATGCCCATAGGGAAGTTAACAAATGAATTCCAAGGCTAAAACGGGCTGAACTCACCGAGGTCACGCCCGGCCTGGGTAATCGTTCCAAGGTACTCGTACACTTCGGCACCCCAGGGGCCGAGAACCGACAAGTAACTAACCCAAGAGCTTGAGTGTGTTACGGTCAAGGACTCTCTGTTAGAACTAATTGCATAATGCAGTGAGTGTCTCCTTAAGCAGAAGGGACCCTGGCTTGCAAGGCCAGGACTTCTAGGTTATAAAACCTAGCAAATGTGGACGGCGAGGCCCAGCTAATACTCTATGTTATTATTGCATCATGTTAATGTACAACAATAATGAGGTGCAAATAGTATGTATCTGCCAGTATAAAGTATAAATAGCATCTAATTATTATTTACACTGATTGCAAAGAACTGCACACTACTTTTACATGGTAAATAGAATATATCACTATTTTCACTGTGTAAATAGCATCTAGAGCTATTTGCACTTAGCCTACTGTAAATAGGATCTATCGCTAAGAAAGTATGCAAATTCCACTTAGTGTAAATAGCCGCTGCTGTATTTTTCTTATCCTATTGGCAGATAATTAGCAAAATAAGAAAAATGCACTTAAATTATTATTATTATTAGGCCTATTTTATTTAATTGTTTTTATTTTTTTGCCCGTAGGATACCATGAAAATTAATAGTCTATTAGTTCAATAACCTACCGTTCTGCCAGTTTTCACTTGTGATATTATAACAGCGATAAGAATAAAACTTTTATTGACTCCGAAGAATGCAGATGTCTTTTTGTCAGGTGCTGTTGCCATGGTGAATTATAATATCAGAGCTCCATTGATCATGGCTTTTCATAGTCATGGTGCACGCACTAAACTCAGAGTCAACCTACTCAGAGTTGATTGAACCAACTCAATTCAGCTGTTCTGAAACCTAAAACTCAGAGTTTCCCATCTCAGAGTAAGGCCCTGACCACACGAACACGGTTATTTTTTAAAACCGCAGCTTTTTCTACGCGGTTTGGCCATTCGTCCACACGCAAACGCAGCACCAGGTCACTGAAACTGAAAATTTTTGAAAACGCCTGCCAGAGTGAAGATTTTCAAAAACTCCAGTTGCAGCGTTTTTTGCTTGTGACATCGGAGCCTGCGTTGTTATATCCACCTATTGGAAACTTTTTCAGGCTTCTGATTGGCCAACATGGCTTTACGGTTGAGATTATATCGCCACCTGTTGGTTTGGCATGCTCTTGACAGTGCTTCATAGCATGTGTTTGCGTTTTCATGTGGACGGAGATTTTTTTAAAAACGGAAGAAGGAAAAACTCTGTTTATAAAAACACCCGTTTACGTGTGGACATGGCCTAAGTCAACTCAGAGTTCAAGTTTGAACTCAGAGTTGGTTGAACCTCCTTATTGAAACGGGCCCCAGGTGTGCCTAGTTAATTATCCTTGTTTGGTCTGAGTACTTAAATTCCTGTATGTTCACTGAGTTTGTCTGGTTTTACGTCTACATGTCTTAAATGTTGCTGTGTTACATTGTGTTTGGATTTACCCGTGTTGGATTAAAGACTTATATGTAACCTTTCATCTCCGTTGTACGCTCTTTAACACAGTGTAGTCTTGACACTTACAGACTTACTGTGTGGGTAGAGTCTGAGTGAGAAGCATTTAGGTTCAAACTTGTGAATTACTTTTTTTAAATTATTGAAATGTGTCTTTGAATATTTATTTGTGATATTTGAATTGCTGCTTTGTCATGTGTAGCTATGGAGAGCACACAACACAGGAATAGAAGTAAACAAGATAGTCCTTTAATAAATCCACAGGCAGTAGAAACACAGGAGATTAACACAAATCAATAGCAATACCGGAACTAAGGAGCTAGGGCAAAACACAGGGCTTAAATAGTAGAAAAGGTAATTAGGGAGAACTGAAACAGGTGTGGAGCTAATTAATCAAAAACCATGGAAACTAATAGACAAGGGAACTCAGGGAAATGTGGAGACAGAAACACAACCAAAACAGAACATAACTGTGACAGTTCGCCCCCCTACCGGAAGGCGCCTATAAACAGTCCAACAGAGGAGGGACGGTGGGCAGGCAATGGGAAAGGGGCGGAAACAAAAAAGAGTGCAAAAAAGTCCATGGGGGAGTGGAGGGTGGGAGGAGTGAACTACGTGAACTCTCAGGGAACTACGGCTCTGTGTAGTAAATGCTGCTCCATCTGAAAG